CCAAGCTCAGAGAACCCCAAGGACTCCACAGTTCAACCCTGAGCTACACATTTTCTCTTCTATTGTTACCACTTTTTCTACTAACTGCTAGAAAAATAACCTTTCTATGCTAGAGCAGGTTACAGAAGGTTACTAGAGCTGGAAGACATCTGTCTGCTCTAGCAACAGCAGCACCATGGTCGCTATTGAAAGTACTTAGACAGGTTCTGGTCCTGGTTTACCTCTTCCAGTAGTATGAGCAGCAACATTATATGGGTAGGTAGTAAACCAAGACCTCTCTAAGCAAACTGGAAAGGTTCTGATAGAAGGTAACTGTCAAGACTTCCCTCCTTCTACAGTCCTGGCCTACATTACAGGGAGTGATTGGTGGATGTTTTTCCTGCCAGCTGGGAAATCCGCCAGTCATGGATCTTAAAGTATTGGGGCAGCCCCATTCACTGGCCTTGTTACTGAGGCAGAGTAGGGACTGGCTACATAGAGTGCATTTAGTGTAATGTACTTTTTACTGCCTCACTAACTGGATCAGACCACATTAAACTGGGTATCTGGATGTGCCTTTAGTGCGTCTATCTCGTTCCTGAAGAAACTGCCCACTGTGATAAATCCTTACCAGAAAATAAATGGAACAAAATTCTCTCCAGTCCCTACACTTATATTTCAGGAACATCTATTATTAGGTTTAAATGAATTAAGGAAATCCAGTTTTAAACTTGAGCAGAAAAACAAAATGCAGAGAGTAGAATCTGTGACCATATTCACATAGCTGAACTGAGCTCTTTGGGGGCTTCAGGCCCACCACACAGTGCCTTTATATAGTTGGCAACTTCCTACCCATTGTTCACGCTGTTTCTATTGCTTTAATTGTGAAAATACAATGAGGGTAAAAGGATGAAGGAAGAATTCTATTCATAAAATGATTCTTTTTTAAAAAAACATGTTGTCCTTTGTATTCATGGACCATTTGGGTTTGTGCAGAGCAAGTAAATAACTGCTAGATACTCATATTAGCAACTGAAATTACAGTGAGAACTGAAAAAGGTGATATTAAAAAGAGAAGAAATACCTTGTTAAAAGGTTGTGTGCTGCTTTTCACCTGATATCCATTCTCCTTATCTAAGAGTAGAATAAAATATGCATTGTTGTTGCTTGGATACTGAATAAAAGAGATTCCCCACTCCCACACCATTGCCCTGTATTTTAGTATCAATTTGGGCTCTCATCTGAATTATGTCTGTTCATTGCAAGCTGTTTTTCTGAAAGTATTTGTTTTAAGCCAAGAACAGAGTTGAGAAGATTTTTTTTTCCACGTCTGTGCCAAATATAGCGGTTTAGAGAGGAGAGATAAAATGCAAAAAGTTATTTGTTTCAGTCTATCTGTAATCTGGTTAAAATAAAGTTGCCTATTTTGTTGGTGTCTTCCCAATTAGATGTTTACCAAACTATTGTGAACATGGAGGAAAATGTTCCCAGTCTTGGATGACATTCTTCTGTGATTGTAGTGAAACTGGTTACGCTGGAACAACCTGCCATAACTGTAAGTAGATCGCACTGTTGGATGCAAATGAACATTTGGGAACATTTACAAATGTGAGAAACACAGATTTCTTGTATTATTTTTACAATTATTTGTAAATGGGTACATACATGGGATGGAACAAACTTCAGTTTAATTAAAAAAAAACTAAATACATCAAAAGTGAAACAGGCAGATTCCTCTGATGATTCTATAGTGAGCAAAAGAACAAGGGAAGAAATGTATAAATTGATGTTTCTCACAATGGAAACAAGTAAACTCTGAAAACGTTCAGCAGTTTGGATTCATTTGACAATTATCCGGTGGCATAATAAATACATTTCCACACAACGGTAATTTTAGGAAAGTTGAGCAAAATGGTGGTAGCCTTGCAACTATAGATACAACTGGATGATTTTGATCATCTGAACCCATTTTAATTGTGCTTTCACCTGGGATAGTTACTGTGACTGCTGTGGTTGCCTTTATGAATGAGCTATGCCAGAAACTGAATAAGGGGAATGTGGCCTCCTAATTTTCTTGGACCTATCAGTGATATTCAATAACACTGACATAGCATCCTCTTGAATTGGCTGGTTGGATTGGTCTTGATTCCATCCCTATTTGTTGAGCCAAGCCCAGAATCTGATGCTGGGAACTCCTGTTCAACTTCTAGGCCATTGACCTATGATGTCCTAGGATTCCATCTTCTGTCACATGTTGTTGAACATTTATGTGAAGCCAGTGGAAAACTCAGAGTTTTGGAGTGGGTTGCTATTGGTATGCTGATGACACAAAACTACTCTTCCACATTATGTACTTTCAGAAATGGGCTGACATGAAATCCAAATACGACAGAAATCATGTTTTGAGGCCAGATTTTAATGAGGCTATACTCACCCCAAAAGATCAGGTCTATAGTCTGGGTACTCTCTTTGATCTGCAGCTGTCACTGTGTTTTCAATTTGTAACTGTGGTGAGGAACAGTTTCACAGAACTACACTAGTGTATTTGGCACAGCTCTTTCTGAACTAGTCAGATTGACAACAGTTGTCTGCACTTTGGTTCCATCCCATCTTGGCTACAGCAGTACATTTTATATAGTCCTACCCTTGAAAATATCTGGAAGATACTTCTGATGCAAAATGTGATAGCCAGGCTCTTAACTGGTACAAGGTATTGAGAACACATGATGCCTTGGCTGAAATATGTGGACTAGTTCCTATTTGCTTACCATGTGCAATTCAAGGTGTTGGTATTAGTGTTAAAAATCCTAAATAACTTAGTAACTGAATAGCTGAGGGGCTGAGGATAGGAACCTGCCCAGTTGTTACGATCTACAGGGAAGAGTTATGGGAGAAGCTCTTTCAGAAACCTATTGGTGTGCACACAGGAGAGGGTCGTCACCTGGGTTGTCTTTTCTGACTGGGGAAATCATACTTTTTCTTAATAGCCAAAGTCTGCAAAAGGTAAAGCAGTGCAGTAATGACATCACTGGAAGATGGCAAGGCCAGAATTTTTGGCACAGTTTCCATTGTGTGTTACATATGGAAGCACACATTTTATATGTATGTTAAATATAGAAAATGACTCTGCTCATTTTTGTCAATTGAGTCATTCAGAATATACAGAGAAAGGGACTGGTAATTTCTTGTAGCCTGTATGTTGCCCAGTCCTGATCTTCTTTAACCAGTGTCCATAACGTTTGTTTGTTTGTTTCTCAGTTAGTTTTTTCTACCATCAATAGATGTGATTTCTTGTTCTATTATTTTAGTGTTGTAACAGAAGTATCATTACCCTTACATTGTAAATGTTACCAGCATATACAAATATCTAGCCAGGAGATATTTAATAAAAATTATTACAGTTTTGATATCTGACTCAATACATGCTAAATGGTGTACATACAAGAACTATTTCTTAACAAGCTTTCTATGGTGCCAGGGGGATGTTCCTTTTTTAAAAAGAAAAGAAAAAAGAAAAAGGATATTAAGCAAGAAATGTCAGGCAATTTCCAATATAACATGTGCAGAATATTAAAGTTGTTCCATAAATGGAAATTCCATCCCACAGGAAATGTCAAAATTTCAGCATCCATTTTGGCCTCACGTTGAAATGAAATACTTAAATGTAGCAATACTCAGATAGACTGAACTTTCTGCTTTGCTAAATGTTCTTTAAAAGATTAAAATGCTTTGATTTTTTTTTTTTAAATACTGGAGTTTGCCATATATTTCTACCCTAAAACTGCATTTCTAAACTTGAATATGAATAAAGATATTTTTATGGTTTCCATGCAATAGAAATGTAAATTTGTTGAAAGAAAAAGAATTACATCGACTACATTCCTAAACATTATGATTATTAAAATTAAACTATCTCCACGAGATCAACCTTTAATGTGTTTTATTTAATAATATGTGTTACTTAGTAGCTATTGGGTTGTTTAGCAATGTAACAGTGGAAACAAGTATTTTTCCTGACCATTATTTCATAAATACATCTCATTCTAATGAGGCATTTGATAACGATGAAAAAGGCAACCGAGAAGAATAGACAGACACGAACCATTTGCTTGAACTAGCTTTTTAAAGGTTATGTGATGCCTTTACAATTATTTAATTTTAACAATTAAAATTAAAATTTAATTGTTATATTATTATTAAAGTTATATTATCTTAGATTGTTGCAGCACATACAGTATACCTATAAGTCACTTGGGATGTACCAATTTGAAAAGGGGGTGAGAAAAATGAAGTGCAGTATTCAGTTGTTATCTTTGTATTACCAGGATCATCTGGTATTTGTCTGATTTGTGGAGTCCAAAGAAGTGGACAGGTTTTCTGCTCTGTGAGTTCTGGCACCTGTGAGTAGATTCCATGTGTCATTTGGCTCTTTCTTGGGGTTTATGCGTGCTTGGATTCAGGAGGTGATCAATGGCTCTTCGAGAGAGAAGGAGGTACCATTCATCTTGAAAGAAGTGATGGTGCAGCTCTGTTGAAGAAGCCGTCACTTGATACAGCCAATTTAGGCTACATCCTAGATGAAATGGATCACCTAGGTCCTTTCCAGTCAGGATTCAGGCCTGGGCATGGGATCAAAATTGCCTTAGTTGCTCAATGTGAATGGAGGGGGTGTGACATTCCCGGTCTTATTAAACTCCTCATAGGTATTCAATAGCAAAATACATCCTTCTCAACTCTCCAGTTCTACAGTAGTGTTAGTTCTAGATGGGATTGTATTTCCCCTGAAGGAGCAGGTCCATGACTACAAAGTTCTCCTGGAGTCACTTCTTATGCTTGAGCAGCAGGTGAAGCCATGGCAACTGGGACGTTAGTGCAGCTTTTATTTTTTTATTTGTTTGTTTGCTTATATATCAAATTTGTCACCATCTATCTCATTGAAATGACTCTGGGCAATTTTCAGCAGAGTTAAAATCAGTTAAAATGCAATAGAAACAATCTTAATAATAAATAAATTCCAAGAGAGATAGAGAATCGGCGAATAACTCAGGGAATGTCTTCAGGGCACTAACCACCCCTAGGGATTGTTAGAGATATTGCCCCATGCACACTGGCAGAGGCAGGTCTTTAATCCTTTCTGGAAAGCCAGGAGGGTAGGGTTAGGGGCCCGCTGCACCTCTGGGGGGAGAATATTCCAAAGGGCAGGGGCAACGGCAGAGAAGGCTCTCCTCCTGATGTATCCGTTGTGCTCCTTTCTGAGTCAGGATATACTGGCAAAAGTAGCTCATTCTTTCATTACTGTACATTTAGAGTAACGTAACCCACGCTCTATTTGGGGCTGGCTTTGAAGTTTACCTGGAAACTACATTTGCTCCAAAATGTAACACTATAGCTGTTAAGAGGTGTGAATCCTTTTGGCAACCTAATACTAGCATTATGGTTGCCACATTGTTTGCCAATAGATTTGTAGATCTCATTCAAAATATTGGTTCTGACCTAAAAGCCTTTCATGGCTTGGTCCTGGAATCTTTGGAGCCTTCCCCTCAAACTTCTTGCTGCAATCTTTGAGTGAAGGATGCTTAAGGCCTCAGCCTTACGATAAGTAACAAAATTGGGAATCAGAAGGCAGACTTTTCCTATTGCTGCCCCAACGTTTTGCGAGACCTTACTTCCTAAGATAAAGCATCCCTTGCTGCATTGATCTTTCAGAAGTCTGTGAAAATTGTTCTGTTTAGGTATGCATTTGGTCAGTGACAAATATGTTGAGCAGCCATTTTTGTTTTGTTTTGTTTTGTTTTAGTTGTAGCTGTTTATAGGGTGGATTATTTTATGGATGTTGTTGTTAAACTGCTGTAATCCACCTTGAATCTATGGAATAGGCAGTAGACCAATGTAATAAATAAATTAATACCTAGAAAGTGCAGATTTTTTTTGTCTAGCAGGCTTTTAATAGAATTCCTGCTATCCACATTGCATTCTAGAATATGTATCTTCTAAGGGTACGTGGATACTTCCAGATGAGGGCTCAGGTCTGTTCATGGAATGAATTAAGCCACTCATCATACAGTTGATATTGTCACTAGAGACATTTGGTTGTACCAGGCAGTAGTTTCCTCCTCCTCAAGTTTTTTTTTTTCTTTTTTTGTAGGAGGGAGGGAGGGAGGGAGGGAGATACATTTCCCCAAACAGAACCAAAACTGGAAGAGCAAGTGGCAGCTGTGGCCAAGAGGGCTTTGCCCCAAATCTATCTTGGATGTCAATTGCACCCCTTCCTGGACTAGCAGATACTGCTCCCAATCACTCATGGCTTAGCATAAGGAGCCATGGAGATGATCTTGGAGAAGGCAAGTAGAAGCTGTTAGGAGAACAACAGGTGCAGAAAAAGTATGCATTAAATCCATGGGTGTCAGGCCCAGCTCAAGAACAATGGTAAAGCAGTTCAGTTGAGTAAAGTTCCTTTATTTGCTTGCACCTTATAGACAGAATCTTGCCAGACTAAATCTATACTACTGTAACAAGTGGGAGATTCTAGGGGGTGGTTATCCTGAACGTCTTTTG